GTGAAATTTTCAAGATTAGTCGATATAGCTCAATATTGCTCGGGATGAAACGCAATTGAGTAATCGTTAGCATATTTGAGAGGTCTATATTGAACGTTTTGTATCATTGAGCAGGCCCGTACACAGGATTTTTATTGGGTGGTGCGAATTTGTAGAGAGTACACCAAAATGGCTAGTTAATGCTTAGGGGCAGAGCCCTGCTTGGGTCGAAGGTTGGTGGGTGGAACTCAGACATTTGTTGTTATTTGAGGTCTTATTTGATAGATTTCCGAAGATGCAGTATGGAGTATTAAACGGTTTTCATTGGCGGATCCAGGAGTTTGAAATAGACGGGGGCTAGGGAGGGACTTTCACAGGTCTACACCACACCATGGTTGGGGCTGAGCAAAGAAAATTTATGATTTGGCACCTCTAGATGGCCAGAAATTGCACTGTTAAGACTTAAAATTTGAATATAATTTTCTGTTATTTCCCATTTTTTTTTCCTTTTGAAAAATGTTAGTGTTCTGGACGGCTTCATACCCAACAATTGATTCCACCACTCTCAGTGGTAGTTCCAGGAATTCAAATTAGAGGGTTGGGGGGACCCCAAAGGAAGGAGTTTCAAAGATTGAGGGGCTGTAACACGTCAGCCCCACCATGGTTGAGTCTGAGGTATGAATATTTATAATTGTGGCACCTCTAGATCGCCGGAAATGGCACTCGCAGACTTGACAATTTGAATATAAAATTTTTTTTTTTTTCATTTAAGAAGATGATTTTGACAAATTTATGGGGGTGGGGTGGGGGAACTGCCACTGGGGTTACAGCACAGGTAAAATGTCATCATCAGTTGTGGATCCAGGATTTCAAAATAGAGGGATAAGACAATTTATGATAATGGCACCTTTAGATGGAAATAACACTCTCAGACCCAACTTTGATTATAATTATTCTTTTTACTCCATTTTTTTTATAGCTTTGAACTATTTAGGGGTGGGGGAGGACCCGGGCTTGCTGGCGTGGCCCTCCTTTGAACCAGCCACTGATCATCTGTTGAGAAGAATTTATTGGCTAGATATACAATGGTAACAAGATAATCTGAGATTACAAACCCTCGCCTCTTGCGCCATATCTATGTACTGAAAAAAAAAATGGCCCGCGGTTTATCCGCTTGAGTCAGCTCAGCCTAGCCAGATGAAGTCTAATGTAGGCCTCGCGTGGCAGGCCAGTTTACTCGCCGGCTAGACCGCTTCCAGTCCATCAGCCAGAATTTGGCACACCCCCTACTCTGGACCATGGTTGATCTGTTTGTGTCGGCTCTGTCTGTAATTGCGTAAAAAAATATATAAATACCAAAATCTGCATCTTCCTATCACCAAATTTGAGGATCGAGGTACATGTGCTGTTAAAATTTAGAGTAAATTGGTCCAGTAGTTTTTGAGTTATACACCCATAAGAATACACAAACACGCGCTATTGCAATACCCTCTTATTTTTAAAAAAATCCTTTGTTATTGCCTAAAAGTAATTGGTTAATTTTTTTCAGGTTGATGAGTGGAGGATACTGATTATGTTTTTGTCAATAACAAGAAAACTTATCCACTCTCACTTTTGGAAGACACGACTGGATCATTACCTAAAAACATTTAGCTATACTCATAAATTGGCTACACTGTTCCCTGGAATACCCTCAACAGTCAAATCAAATTTTACAAATGATGTGAGCAAAATAAAGAAAAAAAAGTGTCGCCACATTGTCCATAGACCGAATGTCAGTACGAGACAAGTGCTAAATACTATCTTTCCGGAATGTGAAATCAGTTCAGGACAAAGTCTGTCAGGACGGGACACATTGAACATGAGAAGGAAATTTCTCATTGATAGTTCTTTATACTTGACGACGAGTATGGAAATTGTGGAACAAAATTATACTTGCGAGTCTTTCTCTCTAATTATTGACTTTGGTAGGTTGATGGCACACATCGGTTTGCAGGAAATGACAATTGAGGACGTCTTTACAGACAAGAAGTTTCAAAGAACAGTTTCTTCTGCAGTACTAGAGCAGTGTGCTTCTATGTCAGATGTTGTTTTTGTGGATGCTCTTCTACTTTTGTACAGGCTCAAAATCACTATTCAAAACAGTCATGTATTGGAGTCACAGTGTCTTCACAGACTGGAAAGTTTGTCTTTGAACCAGACCCTCCTAATAGCAGACTGGTGGATTTTATCTGGTTGTAAGTCACAAAAGTATCACCAAAAGATGCTGGAGATTGTCAGAAACTCTTTAAACCAGCTTTCTATTGACCACATTCTTCAACTTTGTTACTTTGTAAGCATGTATCAAAATGTACCAGGATCATTTTTCAATCAGATTTTGAGGCGTCTGAACGAACAAGTTGAAAATCTCTCATGGAGTGGAATTGTCAATGTGTGCTCGGCTATAATAAAGTGCAAAGAAAAAATTGAACACAATGATAGGCTATTGTATCTAATTGGGGATCATGCATTACAAAATATGCAAGACATCAGTGGACATGAATTAACAATCATTCTCCGGAGTTTCTCTAGACTTTATTTCTTTCACAACAAGTTCCTTGAAATAGCAGTTTTACATTTGACAGAGAAGTTGAATGATATGACAATGGAGATGTTAGCACACAATGTATTTGCATTGTCCAGATACAGAGTTCTCCACCAACCACTCATGGACATGGTTGCAAAAATTGTCACTGAGGAGCCTGCCATGAATCTTCGCATAAAAAGTATTTGGATGTTGCTGCGAGGATTTGCACGATTGAACTACGAACCCCCTAATGCCAATGCATTCTTTGAAAAATGTGTTGACCTGATGCATCAGCGCAAGCAACAATGTAAACAATATCCGTTCCAGTTCTTGAGGGCACTTATTTCTCTTGCATATCTGAATAGATATTATAACAGTCTTCTTGATGTTGTCTTTCATCCAGAATTTCTTCAAAGGTGCATTAGTAAGTTTTCTTTTACACTCTGTCGAATGTAGGAAGTGCAGTGAGTGACCTCACATTTCAATTGTAGTTCTGGCAAAAATCACATTAATTCAACTACCAAGCCTCATAGGATGTTATAGAATGATAAGGGTTCCAAAAAATCATATTTTTTGTTTAATAACTGTAGCTATATATTCCTAATGATGATGATATAATTATGTTGAAATATTGAATCCCAACATGATGGCATGCATTTGAAAACTTGGAGTATGTATTATACTTCCTTAGCTATATATCATTTAGAAAAAATAGGCAATTAGAGCAGCTTAGCTCAGTCGGCTAAACTGGTGGTAGCCACTGTGTGTGCGCTGAACCGTGGAGATCTCTAGGTCCCCGGTTCAATTCCCATCGCTGCCTCTCCTTGTGTTTCAGCTAGAGGGCTGAAATACAAGTTACATAGCGCACCATCTTTCAGATGAGACGTTTAAGCCGTTGGTTCCGTGTGCATTAATGGCCCATGTGCTCGTTAAAGAACACAGTACACTCTTCGGAAAAAAGTAGGGGATTGTCTCCCGGTGTACTGTCCAATTACCACCAGGACCCCACTGGAAACAAGTCTTCTAGACTTTTGTGGGCTATCCTTGTTGTTTACACTGAATAATCCAATCCAATCCGATCCAAATTAACAAAATGAAACTACACTAAAATAATTGTTGATATTTTTGTTCATCCAAACCTGTAGAATTATCGCCCTCTGGAGTTGAGAAACATCTACAGTTGCTAAGTACCTGTGTTGAAATCGACAATCCTGATTTCAACGGACAAAAATTGAGGAAGGTAACGTTCTTGCTCAATTTTAATGTTTGAAGAAAGGTTCAAGAAAGGTTCAATGAGGGAACTGTGTTGTTAATTGTAAAGTATGCTTCCATGTATAGTATTTTTATTCTCATTTTTATACCATTAGAACTACTTCAATGTGCATCACGCTGGATCATTACAAGTTTCGTCTTTTATGCGAGATTTCAAAACTGAAGTTAATGAAATTACAGAGATGTTGCAGAGTCTAGCGGGTGGCCTGGAATACATCAAGTTGCACTGTATACTTAACCATTCTGGTTATTTTAGTACGGTAGCAGGTACACATGATTTTCTTGTATATTGGTGTAATATTACAAGCGCTTATCAATTGTAGTTCCCTGCCCCCCCCAGGTCTAGCGGGGACTTAGCCGGGGGATGTAATTTCCTAAACGGTTACATGCATGTGAAAGTGCCGGCCACCTCCCGGCAATGTGGGGCATCATTTTAACGTACATCCCCAGCCACTTACCGCTGTAGTCCGGTAAAATGCCCCGCTAATAAATGATTGGATGATACAACCTACCGTACTCGCACGAATAAGTGCCCCGTTTGAATAAGCGCCCCCTTCTAATTTGAATAAACTCCCCCTCAATAATCCAATCAATCCTGGGACTGTGGATGTTGGCATGATTTGAGGTGTGGAGTGGAATCACATTCTCCTTTAAGTCAATATCAAAATGAGGATATTGACAGATGAGAGCTCCCTGGACAGACAGTATATTTATTTACTTTGAGAACATACGCCTTTGGAACGGCGGCACACACAAGAGTGGTGCGTTCAGCTTAAATTACAAAAATATAAAAATTCACTAAAGAAGGAGCACACTTAACACAATCATTGATAAAATATGCAAATAAACACGGAAAATGCAGTACATACAAAATAAGACTACAAATTAAATGATTATACCATTGAAAATTAAAGGTATGGAGTAACTATTATTATACAGTATACTGTCTGTATAATTGTAAGGGGTCTCTTCCAAATATCAGCACTTTCACAAGTGCACAAAAATTATGCTGGGGGTGGGGGTATATACAAAAGACGAACGGTTGTGCAATATGTTAATCGAGCTCGCTAAAAAAAGTATCTTAAATTGCTTCAGTTATCATACATTATTACTTTGAAGACAAGGAAAAATGGAAACTAGATCTGTCAAGCCTAAACAAGGAAAGGGCAAATCTAACGCCAAAAAGAACATAGAAGGACTAGGCCAGTCTGACTCAGCTACGAGTGGTCCGGTACTAGTGACACCAGCAACAGAGACATCGACATCGCCGTCGCCACTATCACCGCTAGGCCCCCTGCAACACCTTTTGGGCGACGATCCACAATTGATCAAGATCGTGGCAAAAGCATCAGTAATCATATCCTTTCCTCACCAGAGCTTTTTGAAAACATAATCAAAGCTGTATGTAATAATAAAGCATTTATATCTGCGATCAGCAAATCAATTGTTTACGAAGTTAGCGCCAATATTTATGATAGCGTTGCCCTTGACAAGGAAGCAACTGCGGGCGTCATTGCCGATTTACGGAAACAATAATATACTCATAGCCGAAAATCGTGCTATGGGGGATAAACTTGACGATTCGGAACAATATAGCAGACGAAACTGCCTCCTCCTTCACGGTGTACCAGAGACTAATAATGAAAACAGACTCATTAGCACTTGACATTATTGCATCCAGGATCTCTGATGATATTGAGGTAAGTGATTTTGATCGTACACATCGGCTGGGCAGAAACAAATTTTCTGCAAACGATCAACCAACCAAATCTAAGCCAAGGCCAATCATCATCAAATTTGTCTCATATCGCACCAGGTCATACGTGTTTCGTAACAAAAGGCATCTCAAACAATCCGGCTACTCAATTACCGAAAACCTCACTGTACAAAGATTGAAACTCCTTCACCAAGCAACAATCAACGATGCAGTCGAAGCAACATGGACACAGAACGGTAGAATCATTTGTCTTCTAAAAAACAAAAAGAAAGTTTCCATTACAACTGATGCAGATCTTCGCCATCTCCGATCAACGAACAGCTAAGTTACCTTACTAACTCCATCCAATTAAACTTTTTACTTTCTGTTTGAAATTTACTTATTATTATTCACTTTTATACCACAAGTATTTATTCGGAATGTTAATAATTCAAAATGTTATGCCATTTACATACTGCTATTCTTGATGTTACATTGACGTATTTCAGTACTATTAGTTATTCCGTTTCTCTTTAAATTGTCTTGATTGATTTCTCTTACTGTTATGCTTCAGTACTTATTTTATTTACATGCTTAAACACTTCTTTTTAATATTATTCTTTTATTCTTCGTATTTTTATTATTTCAATTTGGCCTGTTTCTTTTATTGCTATTGTTATTATTATTATTGTTATTATTGTCATTACTATTATTGTCTTTATTATTGCTATTATAATTATTATTTCTATTGATATTATTGTATTGTTATTATTATTATTATTATTATCTTAACTCTATTCGACTGTCTTCGATATTGGTATTTTTATTATTATTATTATTATTATTATTATTTATTATTATTATTATATCTTATTTTTATCCCAGCTGTCCGCTTGAAATTATATTTTGCTGTTGCCATTCCACTTGTGGTATTACTGTTGCTATATACTTTGTGCATTGGTACTTACAGTACGTATATCATGTATATTTATTTTGTGCTATTTAATCTTGTCACTTCCTTTTTGGTATCATATGTTTCTCCTGAATTGTGTGGTGTACTATACTTTCAACATTTATTTCTTTCATGATATTTTTGATACTTTTTTTGTTATTATTTTATATTGACTTTCTCAAAAAATCCTTTGTGTCCTTGGTATTTCTATTTTCTAATTATTATTTCTATTGATATTATTGTATTGTTATTATTATTATTATTATCTTAACTCTATTCGACTGTCTTCGATATTGGTATTTTTATTATTATTATTTATTATTATTATTATTATATCTTATTTTTATCCCAGCTGTCCGCTTGAAATTATATTTTGCTGTTGCCATTCCTCTTGTAATATTACTGTTGCTATATACTTTGTGCATTGGTACTTACAGTACGTATATCATGTATATTTATTTTGTGCTATTTAATCTTGTCACTTCCTTTTTGGTATCATATGTTTCTCCTGAATTGTATGGTGTACCATACTTTCAACATTTATTTCTTTCATGATATTTTTGATACTTTTTTGTTATTATTTTATATTGACTTTCTCAAAAAATCCTTTGTATCCTTGGTATTTCTTTTTGTACAGTTGTGCATTTTCTTCTTTTTAAAAATTTATTACATGTCTAATTGTAGTTCATTTAGCAGTGTATCGGATCATGACCGACTATCTAACCTAATTTTCTCCCCTTTTTTGAACAACCCAGATGACTTTACCTCCAATATTGACCCAGACACTCAGTTCTTCTCCAATAACAACCCCTGCACATCCCAATATTATAAACCCACTGAGTTCCCTGCCAGTACATTACAAGACTGCTTTTCCACCATTCATTTTAATTCCAGAAGCATTCTAAAAAATTTCGATCAAATTAAACAACTGTTAAACTCAATTAACTTACCTATCGATGTCATTGGGATAAGTGAAACATGGCTCAAATTTAATAATCCCCTAGTTCAACTCCCCAATTATCATTTTGTTCCTGTCCATAGAACTCTCAAGGACAGTTGTGGCGTTGCCATGTATGTTCGTGATAGCCTTCAATTTTCCATAAGAGATGATCTTAGTCTACTCCCCTCTACTTAAATAAATAGGCCTCATTTAAAAAACATCATTATTGGTACAATTTATAGATCACCCTGCCTGGACCCTAAGAAATTCACTGATGAACTTGACTATTCTATCCACACTATCAAGAGAGAATAAAATCGTTTATATACTTGGCGATTTTAATATTGATATCCTCAAACATGAATCTGACAGTGACGCCCGCCATTTTGTTAACTCCCTGTTTAGCAACCATTACCCTCCCCTTATCCATAGACCATCTCGTATCACCAAAACCAATGCTTCCCTGTTAGATAACCTTATCACCAATCAGGTCGAACTACTACTACTACTACTACTACTACTACTACTGTATAGTGATATTTCGGATCATTTACCTGTTTTTAATATTACTTACATTTCTAATGGTGCAAGTGGCTCAGATAAGGATAAATATATATGCCTAGCTTCAGAAAATTTAACTCTTCAGCTTTAGAAAAATTCCGCCATGAAGTGGCTGCTCAGCAATGGCCCAATGTTATTAATACCCATGATCCCAATATTGCTTACACCAACTTTGAAAAAACACTAAAATCACTTTATGATAAGCATTTCCCACTTCAAAATCATGTAATAAAAAAAGATCGAAAAATTAAGCCATGGATGTCTAACGGATTACTTAAATCTATTATATAAATATAAATTGTACGCTAAATTCCTTCACTGCCCATCTACCGCTAACGAGAAAGCCTACAAACAATTCCGTAACAAGTTAAACTCTCTAATTAGGATTGCGAAATATAAGAATTTTCATGATACTTTTCTCAAACATAAAAATGATATCAAGGCTACATGGAAAACCATTAACTTGCTGCTAAATAAAACAAACAACAATCAGTTACCTCCCTAAATTGTGAAGGCACAACCACCCAAGATCCTCAAAAAATCTCCAACTCATTTAATAAACACTTCGTAGAAATTGGACCGTCCCTTTCTATCCATATTCTCTAAAGCCTTGGAA